TGATCTGGGAGATTGGGACGTCTATGCCGGCCACGCCGAGGATGTCGCCGTTTTCGATCTGCATATTGGGTACGACTTTGTTAAAAAGTTGAAAAATCATGACTTTTTATTGTGCTGAATAACATTATTCATTGCTTAACTTACCCCCTCACTGGTGAGGTTGCGCGCGGGTACGGACACGGTTATCACGAACTCCTCCTGCTGGCCGAGCGCTCTGTCGGGGATCTATGCGGCGTGGGGGGAACCAGATGAAAGTAAACAACATTCCACACTGTTACTCCAGTTTACTCTAGAGCAACATTAGCCAGACCACATACGAACCGGCAGCCGGTTGAGGTAGTGCTTCTTGGCGAGCGGGTGCAGCTCGGCGTGCTTGAAGCAGAAGGGCGTCACTCGGTGCAGCTGCTCCACGTGCTCCATGCCGCTCCAGAGCACGTCCGTGAGCCCGGGCACCGTCACGTCGGCGTACATGTGCGTCCAGTGCACCGGGTGCATGCCAGCCAGCACCAACGGCCGCGACATCACGGGCAGGTACTGCAGGGTGCCGCGCGCGCCGGACTTCCAGATCTTCATGTGCCACCCTGTCATTGGAGCGGTTAATCATGTCGTTCAAATACTACGAGCCTTTTAGAGGGGTACAAATATCATATGGGTTCTCTATGGACTCCAACAATGTTCCTGGTCATTTCGGGAGCCCATAATATTTGTAGCCCCCGAAATGCTCGTAGTATTTGAAAGACCCTTCACTGCCCCCCGGTGCAAGTGCGACAGTTTCAAGCAGCCGATGTTGATGGACTCCTCGCCGATACAGTACTCACCCATGTTGGCGCACGCCATCCACTGCGCCTCCCGAGCCTCGCCCTGAGCCGGCTCCTTGATGACGAAGGTGAAGACGCGGGCGTGCGTCTGGCCCGGGTTGTCGAGCTCGGGCCGGTTGTGCACCCGGAACAGCTCCTCCTCGTGCTCCGGCACCACGTCCGTCACCAGCATCACCGCCTGGTTGCAGGCCGCGCCCAGGGACTGCCGCCGGTACTGGAACCAATCATTTGTCTCTTTCACATTGGAAGTTAGACCGTGCCGCAAGCACGCGGTCTCTGGTAGGATTGCCTATTGGTGCCTGTGAGTCTGTGGGTAGGCAACACGCCTGCACGAGTGCATGCTGTGTAGTCTCAGTGCGCGGGGCAAATCAGACAAAAGGGCTCTAGGCCTCTAGCTTTCGATCTAGCCCAGGTTGAAGAACGCACCTTTTCTAGCAGGAGGAAGGCGGTCTCTAGACCAAGGCTCAGGTTTGCGGGTCCTTTCGGAGTCACGTCCTCCAGGGCGTGTTGGAGCTCGCGTACGTATGCTGAGGTGGCCTGGAGAAAATGAATAAGGACCATCGACACAAATGAAAAAACCAGTGTCACCAGTTCACAAATTATTGAACCAACGCGACCCGCCATTACCGGAATGAGCGTGAGGTCCAGGTCGGGTATGAGCGAGGAGACGGTGTTGTTGAACAGAAGCACGCTCACGAAATCATCGGGGCCGAGGGTGTCCAAGATCATGTGCACCACCAGCTTGGTGAGCTTGGACGGCTCCGTCATGCCGATGGAGCCCGAGTTGTCCAGGAGGATGACGACGTCCTTAGGGCTCATGGCCGCACCCAGGTACCAGGGCCGGAGCCGCGCGTCGAAGAAGTCCTCGTGGTAGAGCGTGTTCCACTTGGAGGCTGTGATAGCGAAGCAATACGAGGGGAGGAGTGTCAGGGCCAGTCCTATTCCTGGATACTACTGAAGCAGTGTCAACAGACCTGGGTACTGGCGCATGACGCCGGAGTGGTGGGCGAAGAACTGCCAGGAGGTGGTCCTGTCCCTCTCCTTGTTGCTGAGAAAGACGTCATCCAGTCTGCTCGTGAGCTTGATGACCCTTAGCACGTCGGCACCCGTCGAATTCATGTACACGTCCAGGTCCTCCTCAGGCTCGTCTGGGTCCAGCGCGAAGGCTGAAAAGAAAAACACGCGCATCATCAAACGACCTGTTGCTGAAGCAACAACGCGCAATGTGGTCGGAGAGATGGTGAACTTACTGCCATCGTTGACGTCGGCGGGGACGTGCACCGCGCTGAGGGAGTCGTTGATGAGACTGCCTCCGGGAAAGAACTCGTCGTGCACGAGCCAGGGCTTGGGGGTGGTGGGCGGTGGGGTGGGTGCCGGGGTGGTTGTGGGCGGCACGAGGACGGTGGAGCCCCGAGACCACCATCGCACCTTCTGCTTCGACTTCGCTTTGGGTGCCGGTGTCGGCGTAGGCTCCTCGCCGGCCTCCTTGTCCTTGACGCCAAGGTACGGTTTGCGCACTTCGATGGCCAGCTTACGAAGCGGGACCCTGCCCATATCCTCGGCAGCTCTGCGAATGTCCTGCACCTGCTCCACCCGGATCTGCATCAGGTCCTGCACGTTCCTGACGACCCCGTCGAGCAACGCCGTCGCGTTGCGCACCGAAACCGTCGCCTTCTTGAAAGTCTGATGGTCACAGAGGTGAAAGGTTGGCGTTGGAAGGTATGTTGTTTAATAGAATCTGATGCCTATTACTTACGTCATGAAGGTGCCTGATCCGCGTCACCGAGCTAGCGAACTCCCCCAGCTCCTTCCCCAACTTCTCCGCCCAGGCTTGCACGCTGCCCGAAACCAAAGGGTAACACACGGTCATGTACAATGTGGCCCATCCGTGTCGTTCTCTAGTCTGGTTATACTTTATCGGATTCAGGCATGCGGACGGGGCCGTATGGCGCTTGGGTGCACGACGATAGGCAAGCCCGCCCCACACGAATGCTTCCGGTACAGCATACCCAGAAGAAAGAACGGCGCCGATGAAGTATAGAAAAGCCTGTTCAACCATCCACCCCTCCCCCCCTCAAGCCCACACTTACACAGCGTGCTGGTCCGCCTGTGCGGGGTGCTTGGGCTGCTTGGCAGCCAGGGCCACGGCGAGGGCGAGGACGACGACGTTGCAGACAGCGACGCCAACGGCGCGCGCCATTGCAGCATCCCCGTCCTGGTCCACGGTGCGTCGCGAAGCGTCGGCGAGTGACGCGTGGATCGGCGCGGCTGGGGACGCTACAGGCGGGGGCCTCGGGGCGATCGCGCCGTAGTCCCCACCCGCTGGGACCGGCGTAGCCCTATCGACCCCTGCCTCCGGCGCCACCCCGGCGCCAACTGGACCGCCGCGCCGCCACGCCGGCGCCCGTGCTCGCGCCCGCGCCCCGAGCTACTGGGCCTACTGGGCTTGGCGCGGGTCCCACCCGCGGCTCCATCAGCTGCCCCCCACTCGCGGGCCCGGCGCCGGGCCACAGCGGCCTAGCGAGCAGGGTCCGATCCTGCTGGAGTGTGGCGCGAGCGACAGGTGTTGTGGCCCTGTTGCTTGCCCGGCGTACGATGGCCGAGTGTGGTGCATAGCGCATCCCAGCGCCGGACATGAATGCGTATCTCTCTCGTTCACTTCAATTCACACGCCGACAGATACTGCGCGGCCACGGGCAGATATGGAGAGATTGCTGAACACCACACATGTGCGGGCAGCAGGCTGTCAGCGCCTAACGTGCCCGCCCGCGCCCCCGCCTTCAGAGCGAGCCCCGCGGAAGATGGGCGCGTTCACAAGGCGAGCCGTAACGCCCTCATACGGCTGGGGTGAGACGCAGCCCGTAGTCCTACCGTCAGCTGATGCCCCCCACCCACCCCCCGCATGGTTACGTACTTAACGTCACTCAACGTGACGCCGTGACAGCGCGCTGCCGCTGCCGGAACCTCGTTAGAAAATCCTCCCAACACCTGCCACCCCCATCCGCCCACCTCTCTGATCTCCTTTCCTTGGAGAAAGGTCTGGTCTGCCCGCCTCTCCGCTCCTGCGCGACAGCGTCAGAGGAAGGGGAGGCCGCGCGACGCGTGCGGGGTGCAAACGGCATTACAACCTGATGAGCCGTGACGTCATCCAAGGCCAGAGTGTGGACTGAGCTGTGCCCTGCTCTGCCCCCTACCCACCCGAGCCCCTGCCCCTTGCCTCGCCCATGTCTGCCACACCCTGAGCCTGGCAGGCGCTGGCACGGGCGGGGGATAACCCGATCTACGACTTAATACGCCACCCCTCTGCCCCCTTCTTCCCCCTAACCACGCCCCCCTCCCCCTCCCCGTGCCGACATCTCGTCGTGTTCCAATATTGAAAGAAAGGAGAGCAGAGCGAAGGGCAAGTGACCTAGTTCGACGCCTAACCCTCGAGACCCCCCCCCCTACCAGAGAGGGGCACATGACACTCTGCTCAGAGCGCTTACTTATGAGAGCATTAATAAGCCGGCGGGGGATTGAGATCGAGTGCTGAACGATTAGTCAGCCCCCCTCCCCCGCCTACACACAAGACACAATCGCGCGCGCGCCAAGTGCGGGGTCGATGAGAGCGTCAAATTTACTTTCCGTACCCTCTATCTTGAGAATATGACATTTCGCAAGCTACTACCTTCAGTAAGGGATCGTCCAGAGAGTACGTCCGTTTTTTCTCACTCATTCGTCGAATTTCGGGAGCTGAGCGCCTGCGAGACTCGGGGTAGGCCACCCAGCAGTACACGCACGCAATGCAGACAAGATGTTGCCTACCCAACAGGCGCTAGGAGCGCCTGCAGAGACTAAGCTTGGCAGTTACGGAACTGCGAATGACGGACGTACTTACTGGATGACCTCTAAGGGCCGCCTGGAAACTAAGCAATAGGCCGAGTGAGTCCCTTTAGACCTCCCTTCCTTGGATCCCTTCACTTTGTGTTATAGTTTTCGGTTCGTATTCCTCGGACGCGGGAAAGGATAGCTTATATGGGGGGCACTCCTTGTGCTCCTTAAGACTTAGGGAGGTACTCAGGTGCTCCATTACGCTCACTCGGTCATCAAATTGCACGAGATTGAAGAAAATATGCGCTTTAGTAGCGCCGGTAGTTTGTAAACCCGAGTGGCTGCCCCCAAAAGTGTTGACAACATGAGAAATTGGTTAGAATACACACTTTACTGAATCACATCCGATTTCTCTTCCTGCAGTAGTGATCTAATCCTTGATTCACACAAGCTTTATTATTTTGTCTGAATGTTTTCGCAATTTTGAGCAATTATGTAATTTCCAGGCTGAAGATAACGAGTAGCAATCCGGTTTGAAGGTTGTCTACCCTACTTGGCGTTTTCTACCCCCCCCCCTCCCTCCTCCCCTCGACTTTGTTTTGGTTTCAGAAAGCAGACACCGGACACTTCGATTCCGTTCAGTTATGTTTGATATTAATGTTGATTTTGAATGAACGTAACGTATTAATTTTAACAGGAAGCTGGAAGTTGTGTTTTTATTATGGGTAATGCCCTTCATTCATTTACTCGATTTGATATATCAATCTTACCTAACCTTTACTTTTCCTCATGTTATTACCGCTTTCAAAATTTAGCATTTATAAGCTGTTTTCTGTTCTAGATAATGTGAAGCCATCTCTTATCGCTGACCAGGATTCAACAGCAGCTGTATCGGTCCCTGTGGCTGGGGATGATACAGTTAGAGCACGATCTTTCCTCAGGGAGAGATTCATCCGTGCCATCCTCGCAATGAATGGTACGACATCATAAGACCTCTGATGTTTCCTTTGAGTTGTTGGGTCTGGTTAAGTGAAGTGCTAGCTTTGTCCCCTAGGTTGTATTGTTTAAATTTTATAATTCAGCTGTGCTTATCATTCCTGTATATTTAATTGGTTGTTTGTGTTATTGAAATTGCTATTGAAATAGTCGTGAATCAATTTTAACTTACTTTTACTTGCAGGTAAAAATGCTGAATTCCATATGTATGAAAACACCAATGTAACTGCTGAATTTGGTAGCTGTGATCGTGAGTTTGTCAATATTTATGTGAAGAATCTTCAGACCCCTCTTGGTCCCATAAGTGATGCATTGTTACGAACAAATGATATTGATAGAATTCATATAAGCGACATTAACCCAAGCATTTAGTCAATAAATTTATGTAAATATATAAATCCTGTACTCGAATGACTATTCCAATCCATGAGACACTTCCAGCCAAGCTTCCAGCAAATTAATTTTCACCGCACTGCAGTTATGATTGACACTAAATGAATGCTCAATTTTAGAAAGTAAATTTACTGGGAACAAGGACTTAAAATACGTATTTCACACTACAGTCACCTCACGATAAGTGACGGATGGCACATATCGAAGGGAGCAAAACGTTTAACGCCTGTTGGAAGCGTCGAGCTCATTGTTCGGTGCGTCGCTAGGGACTCACCCGATCAGTAAATGTCCCGCCGACGCTTGATAAATGACCGCTTTAAGTGTACGCGTGCAACTGCAAGTTCTCCAGTAAGCCACGGCAAACCAGACGCTTGTCGGCACTGTCGGTACGCCTGCCCCAGTCCGAGGCTCGGGTCCAGCAATGGTCGAGCTAGGACTCCACGCGCTGGATGACCCTTCATTCACACCAGCTTAGGGAAGTAGGTAGTAGACTTGCAACATTTCTGAGCCGAGGGCCCGGACCTAAAATGGTCACTTACCGGCGGACACTTATTGCGAGATAACTGTACTCTTAACAGAGTTATACAAGGTGGGCAATAAGGTGACAAGAGCCAGCGGCATTCATTACATTGAAATTGATGCTGAGGTGATGTGTGGCATGGCCATGAGGCTTCACTGCTGGAAACTGGCACTTGTCAACTCAGTAGCAAGCATCACACCCAGTATTTATGTTGCTGACTTCTGGTAGATAGTCCTATAGGTTACGAATAGTGCCCATGGAGGAATTGAAGCTAACAAGTGTAGTCCTCCGACAAAGTGCTGTATTCAATGATAAATGCTAGTTCATTTTAAAGTAACATTATCTGCCGATAGCTTACATATCAATCAAAACCATGAGACCTTTAAATAATATCTGTAGCGTATATTTTCAAGTTCTTAGGTCGGATATAGGGCTCAAGCTGTAATTGGATCTGGTTCTACATGTCAAAGAAGCTACTTCAACAGGTATGTTCTAGGGTCAAGCCACTGACTTCAACAGGGATGAATAAAAACCAAGAAACTTAGATAATAGGCTCCTTTAATAATTCCCAACAAATCAAGTTTATTCAACTTCACCAGCCTCAATCTTTTTGAGCCATTCAGCCTTAGCTGCGGCAACCTTACCCTGCCTCTGTTCGCGGGTAAGTTTCTTCTCTGTCCATCTCTTCTTGGGATGCGCCTTCTTGGCAACAGTCTTGCGGGCAGGGTTAGCTCTAATAGCCTCATGAGCCTTCTTGTAAAGACCCTCAATCTAAACAGAAAACAAAATTAATTTTACATACAATATTATAGAAGTGCAACCAATGGCACCAGTAAAAAACACTTACAGCATCAGCATTGAGGCCAAGCTTGATGTATTGGGAGAACTGGCGTTTGTAAGCCTCATCATCTTCCTCAGCAAGCTGACGCATGTACTCAGCGACATGCTGGCCGAAGATGTGCTGACGGTGGACATCGGCATTGAATTCCTTGGATTCAGAATCGAAACCAGGGAACCTCTTAGTGCTGCATGAATGAAAACAAATTAAAGGTAAAACTTCGGATGAAGGTTCCTAAACTGCATTGAAGATATACTACACATACCTGTGAGGAATATTTAAACCACCATCAACAGCTCCCTTCATGGCACCAAATACTCTAGCACCAGTGCTGGTTCGCATTAGACCAACATCAAGGTAACACCTGAAGGCACCAGGTCCATCCTCAACTGCTTCTACATTGAACTCTTCACCAGTAACTTCTGTAGAGCCGATGTAAAGTTTATCCAGACCAAGCTGGGACAGAAGCTAGGGAAGGAAGATACCAATGATAAAAGGGGCTAGTCAAATTGCTACACAAAAGAACATTATGACAATCTTGTCAGGTAAGGGGCATACTGATAAGAAACTTACTCTGCGGGCGAGGAGCAGGCCAGTGCAGTAAGCGGCAGCGTAGTTGGTGAGACCAACCTTGACGCCATACTGAGGGAGTTCATGAGCATAAGCGGCGCACAGAATTTTGTCACCCTCAATCCTGGAGTATGCAACCTAATAGAAATAAGAAGACGGTGTTGGTTTATTCAAGTAATTCACTTACAATGTTGATCACAGATGGCCTCAGTGGGACAAATGTTTAAAGGGTCACAACACTTTCACTCACCTGGCAAGTAATGTCGCGGTTGGAGAAACGGACGACAAGACGGTATTTGGGGGTGTTGTATTTGTTCTTGTCCTGGGCGATAAGACGCTTGCGGGCGAAGTAGTCGGTCTTTCCTTCACGACGCCTCTTGAACTTGACTTGGTACCTCTTGAAGTACTGCTTATTCTTCACTACTTTAACGAACCCCTGAAAGAAAGGGAGTAGTTCGCATTTAATACATTGAAATAAAAATAATTATTCGTACATTAAAAGACCTCGTCAATGTACGATGCCGGTTACATCTACAACAGTAGTGGCCTAACCTAAGTGAATGGTAAACATTCATTGCTCACTTCCGAAAACTAACAATTTTGACATAGAAAAGTAAATAATCAGGTGCTGGATGAACATGTAACCACGAAGTTCGTGCGAAATAGCATATTAAAGACACTACCACTTGCAAAGGCGCGAGACGTGCACCCCTGCACGCTTGCTAGCCGTGAGGCCGCCAAGAATTATCCTAACGCATCGACATGATTTCGACTCCAATTTCTATGTATCAGCGTAACGATGACAGAGAACATTGCTCTAGGCTAGTTAAAAGAACCCACAAACATCAATAACTCACCATTTTGGAAAAATATACGCGTCTAAACTGAGGTTACACGTCGATCGTGTAACCCAGTGAAAGGAAAGAGCCCACAGGAAATGGTATGAGGATATATGCAGAAGCGGAAGATAAACGTCAGCTATAACGCGGCTTTCAGTGTCACCAACGGCGGATGGCGGGGAAGGGAAACTTCTCCTACGGCATTCTAGATTTCCCATCGGGCATGAGCAAACGACCTCATATTTAAATCCTTTCTATTGAGGAAAAAAGATTGTCAGAGATGTCTTTTGACCTATAATTTCAAAGGAGGACTTTTTACTTATTCCTTAAAAACACCGAATTTGAAAAGGGGCAAAAACAAGATTTCTTTCGCTCATGCATCGTCTGCTAGAGCAGGCTTCGCACCGGACCAAACTTCTCTCTCATGGTAGTGGCTGTATTTATTTCTGATAATACCTAGACATTTTTCAATCCGTGAGCAATCTCGACATCTGTAAGAGACTTAATTTAATCTTCACGACCCTTTGCTCCCCGGCGGTGCGAAACGAGTAAACAGGACACGGGCGAGTTTTAAGTAGCCAAGTTGTGGTACGTCTGGTTTGCCGGAAAAATACGAAAAGAAGAAAAGTTCGCTGATATAGAAACAAATATGGCGACTTGGTACTTGGAAGCCTAAAGTGTTTTTCTAGCATCAAAGTAAGATTTTTTCTTGTGTTTTTAGTAAAAATAAAGTCGGTCTAGAATGCCGGCTCTAGAAGTGGGCTTTGCGCCACCAACGGAGGCCCCAGAAACACCTCAAGTACAGCCTACTCCAGCTGTCGTGGGTATCATTTACCCGCCGCCTGAGGTTAGGAGTATCCTTGTTCAGCTATCAGCTACAATTCTCTTTCTTTTTATTGTTTTATGTTTTGTTTAACTATCTGAAATTTGATCTGTGTGTCTGTACATTTACCCTATTTCGAAACCGAAAATATTACAATCTTTTTTTTAATTCTAGTATTAGTACTAATGTCATAGTTGTATGTGTTATTGTATGATACTACAGTAATCCTGACACAATCTGAATTATGCATCAGTAGTCAACAGTACTGCTTAGCCTGTATTTTCAGGTAGATATTAATTGATTTCGTATCTTCCTTAACATTGGGAACACAGACATCGTTGACAAGACTGCCAGCTTTGTTGCTAGAAATGGACCTGAATTTGAGGCCAGAATTCGTGATAATGAGCAGGGCAATCCTAAATTTAACTTTCTCAATTTTGGTGACCCATACCATGCATATTATCAACACAAAGTTAAAGATATCAGAGAAGGAAAAGGTAATGTGACTAAACCATGTAAGGTCATTTGAATTTGCATATTAGTTTAAAATACAGGGCTTATAAAATGTAAATTTACAGGTCAAGATCAATCTGGCACTGTTCCGCCAGGGACTGCACCTCCTTCCAAGACAGTTGCCTCAGTGAAAGAAAAGCAGCAAGAGCTCTTGAAGTCTGCCATTGAACAGCCTTTTATTCCCAAAGATCCACCTCCTGAACTTGAATTTGTAGCTGATCCACCATCCATTTCAGCCTTAGATCTGTGAGTTTGCTGTTGTACAATATCAGACTTAGAAAAAAACTCCTTTAGAAAAAGAAAAAAATAATTATCTATCTCTTTGTGATTTTCAGGGATATTGTAAAGCTCACTGCACAGTTTGTTGCTTTGAATGGACGTACCTTTCTTACAAATTTAATGAACCGCGAACAGAGGAATTTTCAATTTGACTTCCTCAGACCCCAACACTCACTCTTCCAGTACTTCACCAAACTCCTTGAACAGTACACAAAAGTGAGTCAATTTTTTCTTTGAATGTGCAGGAATGAGAAGAGAAGACTAATAATTCCTTTTTCTTTTCTATTTAGGTGCTTATACCACCCAAAGATATGATGTTTCGCTTGAAAGATGAATGTTCAACAACTGGTCACATTTTGGAACAAGTCAAATACCGTTCTGAATGGATCAAGTATCAGGAAGCACAAAAGAGGAGAGAGGAGGAGGAGCTAGAAAAAGAGAGAGGTTTGTTGAATGCTTAATCTTTCGCACTATTCATTTTTTTTTGTGTTTAGTCACCAAGTATGCTAATTTTTTAAACTTAAAAACAAAATATTTACAGTGGCTTATGCTCAAATTGACTGGCATGACTTTGTTGTTGTGGAAACTGTTGATTACCAACCAATGGAAGTTGGGAACTTTCCACCTCCAACCACACCAGATGAAGTTGGTGCTAGAATGCTCATGCAAGAGCGTTATGATGTTGGAGATGAAATGCAACTTAGTGATGAAGATGAAGATGACAGAGAGGAAAGACGTCCTCGTGTTCGCAAGGCCCCAGCTCAGCATGTCTTCAGACGTGACCATCGCGATAGACGGGAAGATGATAATGATGAACAGCAAGAAGAAATGCAGAGGAGATACAAGGATAAAGCAGAAAGCCGTGATAACATTCAGGTAACTCTTTTACTTGTAACTTTTTGTGTCTTTGTTTGATACATATTTTATTTATCTACCAGTGGTTGTAGATAGGTATCAGAGTGTGTATTGATTGAGAGTTTTGTTTCATTAGGTTCAAGACATGGAGGAAGGCTCTTCAAGTGAAGAAGAAGATGATGGTCCTCCAGGAGAAAGGAAATTACCAGCAGCACCGCCACCTCCTCCTCCACCCAAAGAAGCTATGCAGCCTCCTCCTCTGCCACCACTACCTGATCGGGTTTTGGTTAAGAAAGGATATGATCCTAAGCAAGGTGATACCTGCATTATTCTCATCTTATCAAATGTATTTTTGAACTGCTACTGTGTACTAACATTCTGTTTTCCTCATGCCCACAGCTGTTAAGATTACTCGCCCACCTGCACCAGACGAAATGCTTATTTCTCCCATTACTGGAGAGAAAATTCCTGCTAATAAGGTTCAAGAACACATGCGCATTGGTTTGCTGGATCCTCGATGGGTTGAACAACGTGACAAACACATACAAGATAAGATGAACCAAGAAACAGTGTATGCCCCAGGTCTGTAGCACAGAGTATTTGAATTTTTTAAAGTCCTCTCTTCCAAGGTCCCCCCCTACCCGAGACGTGTTTGGTGTTGTAACTATCTATCTATTGTTTATCCATCAGGTGCTGCCATTGAGGCCAGTTTGAAGCAACTTGCTGAAAGACGTACTGACATTTTCGGTGTTGGTGATGAAGAAACTGCTATTGGTAAGAAGATCGGTGAGGAGGACACCAGAAAGGATGAAAAGGTAACTATTTGGGTTTTTGAGACGGTTAGATTTGCTTGAGACAAGTCTCAGTCCTGCACTGACTTTTTTAATCTGCAGGTCACCTGGGATGGTCACACGTCCAGTGTGGAAGCCGCCACCCGCGCCGCTCGCGCCAACATCACGCTGGAGGACCAGATCCAGCAGATTCACAAGGCGAAGGGTCTCCTGCCGGACGAGGAGAAGGAGAAGATTGGACCCAAGCCGATCAAGGGTCGGGAGCGGGACAGGGGTGTGGTGGCCGACAAGGGCCCGCGCAAGGCGGAGCAGCCCAAGCCTCCGGGCACCAAGGGGCCCGAGGCACCACAACCGGCACAACCCGGCGCGGCCGGCGTGCCCCTGCCCCCCATGCCGGGCATGCCGCAGATGGCCCCCATGCCAGGCATGCCTCAGGGGATGCCCGCCGGCATGTCGCACGCCCCCATGCCCATGGCGCACGCCCCGATGCCCATGGCCCCGATGCCCTCCATGGCTCCCATGCCCCCGGGGGGACCTGGCATGCCCCCCGGTATGCCCCCGAGCATGATGATGATGCCAGGCATGGCCCCACGGCCAATGATGGGTAAGTTTGGCCATTATGTAGAAGCCGCTTTATGATATATATATACCCTAGAAGAGAAGTTTAGCATGGGACTTCAGGAAGAAGCACTGAGACCTGGCACTAACTTACCCTATGCACATCATCTTTGTTTGCAGTCCAACAAGGTCCCTATTCAGTACCCCAGCCTGGAGGGCCAATGCAGAGGTTCCTTCCCCCTGGAGCACCTCAACCGGCGCAGCCTCCAGTAAGTTGTAAAAATGGAGCTGTGTAGTATTGCCAAAAATTAAATGAAAATCTGTTTTGAATGGATAATGTTCACACAATTACTCTATGGTATTTTACAGATGCCACACATGGCGCGGCCGTCAGAATCTGTAGAGGATGAACCACCAAGCAAGAAATCACGAAATGAAGATAATCTTATTCCAGAACAAGAGTTCTTATCCAAGCACAAGGTTGGTATAATTACATTCTCTTCCTATTTAAAATCTTTCTTTGCAACTAACATTTTCTTTTCCTTTTATTAGGCCCCAGTTACCATTAAGGTTCAGGTGCCAACTTCCTCAGACAAACCAGAGTGGCGACTGAATGGACAAATGCTGAGTCTAGTTTTACCTTTGACGGAGTCTTTTGCTGCTGTGAAGAGTAGGATACAAGATGAAACTGGTTTGCCTCCAGCTAAACAAAAACTTCAGTATGAGGTATGTAGTATGCAAATAAAATACTGCAGGGAATTCTTTTGTTGTACTAAGTGTTGCATACTAATTTTATGTTTTTGCAGGGTATGTTCTTCAAAGACTCAAATACTTTGGCCTTCTACAATATGATGTCTGGTGCCATAGTACAGTTGCAGCTTAAGGAGAGAGGTGGAAGAAAGAAGTAAATTGATGGAGAAAGTGAATGAATTGGGGAATAATGATATCATGTAAAAATAAACTTGTATATTGGATTTATTTAAAATCGTAACTTTTTTTCCAATTTTGCAATGTATCCTTTCAATAGGAATGTTCTAATTGACATAGTACAAAACCCTGCATCAAGTAAATCTATAAAAAGAGCCTGGTCTGGCACTAATTCCACAGCCGTCTGATAAAAACTCTTGAACCACAAGGCTTTCTGACACAGGAAGCACTGAACATAATTAAAGCCTTTAACTTTCTTCTCTGCTTTTAAATTTATTTTAATTTATGCCATGTTATCTGTGGCACTGTCCAACCGCATTTTGTCAACGGACGTTGACATAGCTTCTAAATCATCTGCAGACAAAAAAAGAAATTCTTCACATATCAATGTTACATACCGTTCCACAGATATTCAACAGCGCAAGCAGCACACATAAAATTATTGATCCGTAGCAAGAATTTAACACTTCCCAATGGGACCACATTGTGTAACAAGTGAAACTACCTGAAAGTGTCCCATTAGAACATGAGTGACATGGTTCCCTGGTGAAAATTAAGACAGCTAAATTTTAGAGGACCACCTGTGAGATAGGGAATGGCAATTTAAGGCCCCACAAGGATATTTTCGATACCCTATTAATATTCTTTGATTAGACCACATTCATACAAAGCATCGTGCATGGGTCCAGGAACTGGCCAAAGCCTTTTCAGGGAACCAAATATACCAAATTAAAAAACATGTCAAGTAATTAGATTCACTGCTCATGGGTCATGGCTGTGAGGAGGATAGTAAAAAAGATAGTTTGAATGAAATGGAAATTATAATGTGCAACATTTTCAATTTTTAACAAAATACAAAAGCAAAAGAGGAAGTAGCAGTAGCTATTTAATTTTACACCATCAAAGCATCTAAATAGAAGTATAAGCAAAAGCTTAAATTGTTGACAGCTGCAGTTTGGTAAGTGCACTTAAAATGTATAGCTCCCTTCCAGTACTGCCAGAGGCTCATTGAGACAGGTCAAATACTTCCACAATTCAGAGTTAGTCTTACCTGAGTCTTCCGACACATCTGAAGGGTTCAAAGAGTTGCAGTGTTCTAAATACTGCTTTAGCTTCCCAACAGATGCTAAGATAAGACCCATAAACGGTGCAGATGGCTTGAGGGGTCGTGACAGATATTCTGGATGGTACTGAGTGGCAACATAGTAAGGATGATTTTCTAATTCCAATATCTCCATCCTTTTGTTCTCCGTGTCATGACCTGGAAAAGATTTTAATACATATTTTTTTAGAAGACTGTAACTTTAAAGGGTACAGGACTAGGATAGCAATTTACTGTGGAAGTACCTGTGAATTTAAGCCCTGCAGCCTCTAGCTGCTTAACATACTTAGGGTTGACTTCAAATCGGTGGCGATGCCGTTCTTCAACAGATTGCTTATTGCCATACAATTGTTCTAAAACCAATGAAAAATATTTAGCATTTGCTGTCAGGAGAAATTGTCTTAATCTTACAAGACAATCACAATAGTAGAAAATCTACGTACTCATTACTGATTTATCTGAGGTAAAAACTGTAGTGCGTTTGCCCAGACGCATGGTGCCTCCCATCTGCCCTTGATTGTGCTCAGGCATGTCAATAATAAGAGGATGTGGGGTGTCTGGGTCAACTTCTGTGCTATTTGCCTTATCAAGCTTTAAAACATTTCTGTGAGATAACAAAAATTTAAAGTATGAAATACATATGAAGAGAATATAAAACAATCTGTAAATAATAGGTACACAGGTAGTGGTTTAAAGTGTAAGTAAAATAAAGACTTAGTACTTGCCGCGAAAATTCCACCACAGCTGACTGAAGACCAAGGCATATTCCCAAAAATGGTCGTTGCATTTCTCTGCACCACTGGCAGGCTTCAAGTTTCCCTTCAAAGCCTCGTTTGCCAAAACCACCAGGAACAATGACACCACTAAAGTCAAAGATGGGAATTAGATTGAAACTATATTGCAATTTTAAAAATGAACAATTGATACAAGAATAACACTTACTTGCTCTTGCACAAAGTTTGCCAAGCTTTGTGATACATTACTGGGTCCTCCATTTTCATCTCTTTTTCTAAGTTGGCAGCTTCAATCAACTATGAGAGGGTAACAGTAGTTTGGGTTAGATTTTATGAAATTTAATTAAATTGAAATTAATCTAGTGTGATTGCTTAAACTTACTGAAACATTCAATTTGTAGCCAACTTCAATAGCAGCATGTTGAAGTGCTTTTAGTACAGACGCATAGGAGTCTTCAAGCTTGGTATATTTCCCTACAAGAGCAATAGTGACTTCTTTCCTTAGTAGATCCACTCTGAAATGTACACAAAGTTGAATAAGGTTTCAATTAACTAAATTGAACTTAAGGGAGCATACTATTTTAAAACTAGCAGAGTTAGGTAACTATTTATAAAAAATAAATAAATTGTGGTATCTGGCAGCAGCTAGGAAGTGAACTAAAGAACGTTAAGAGAACTTCCCAATGGTACAAGTAAGCTCTGTATGGCTCTGCTAACTGCAGCTAATAGCTTTGGACTTCGTCTTACATCCCAGAATATTTCTCAAACATTTATAAAAAGCCTGTAGATGGTATAATTAGAGGAGTCCTAATTGATCATTAGAACAGCACTACGACTACTACTACTATAGTAGTAACTAGTGCACTAAGAAACAGTAGTAACTATTTTCTCAGTACAAGCTAGGCCTTTGAAATTTTACTTTGAAAAAAATTAGTATCTTTTTTTGTGTTTGTTGTTAAAGAAAAGCAGAAGGCAAAACTTAGTGGCAAACCAAAAACAAGAGAAAAACAATCAATAGCAAATTAGTCTAATTCACTGTTAAAAATGTGTATCTAGGCCTAAGAGTTAAAAATAAAAATCCCACAAAAAATTGGCAGTAACACAAGTACAAGGTAGAAACAGGGTTTTAAAGAGGTCCAGGAAAAAAATTAATTTGATGGGTTTACAGAATTTTAAAGTATAGGATCAATATTGGAAGAGCAAAGTTAGTGAGCCAAAACTCTTCCTCACAATCATCAACCAATGATGGAAACACGTTGCAGCACTGGCTGGTTTTGGTGCAAAATGCAGCAGAAAGCTATTCTGAGTGCAATAAACCTTCTTCACCCAATAGTCTGGACTCCACATCTACATAGCTGGGTGAAATACATGCAAACACGAACAAGTATGAACTGCTCCACCCACCCAACAACACAGCACGATTCTCTTCGCACAACTTCAATTGAGCCTTTTTCAGTTGGTTCTACATCAGGGGCACCTTGAGACTGAGTGAAGTCAAATCTTCACCCCATACATTGCAAAGCATTAAAACCGTTAGCACAAAGAGTATGGACTTCATAACAAAAATAGAATAAATGTACCAGTGTTCAAATGGCACTGCTTTAAATTAACAAGATACATGTTTGGCAGGTCTGTATCTTCATATTGTCTAGGTCGTTTCACGTTTAAGCACTGATCGAAAACATTGCCCAACTTTTCCACATGTTTGCAAAATGAGAAGCAAAGTAAAACAACTATAGCCATCAAACTGTTTAAATGAAGAAACCAACCTATCAGCTAAATTTCTCCACTTCATCATGTATGACTTAGGCTGGGGTAGAGTCAAGTTCAGGTGAAGACGTTCACTGATGAAGTCGACCAAACCTTGGCCCTCCATGAGAATTGGAACACGGTAAACTGATGATAAGTCATGTATACAAATAACCTGAATTGAAGAATTGTGGGTAAGGTGACAGAATTTCATTGAGAACATTGACAGCGTAAGTCAAAAAGTCTTACTTGCTCAGGTCCAACATGGCAGAAGTTTGACACTTTATCTCTAACTGACTGTCCAATGGGCTTTTCACTCCTGCAAACAATGAGGTCTGGAGAGAGACCAAGACCGCGCAACTCTCGAACGCTAGACTGTGTGGGCTTTGTCTTTGGCTCGCCAGTAGAGCGGGGCTACAAATCATAAAAGAGTATCACTTTTAGTCTTTTTGTTAGATTATGATAAACAGAAATGCAAAATAACACCACAAAAGTACCTGAGGGACAAGAGACACATGGGCACAGCAAAAGTTCTCTCTTTTGACTCGGAACTGAAATTGGCGGAAAGCCTCAACAAAAGGCATTCCTTCGATGTCACCAATGGTACCACCAAGTTCAACAATGCAAACCTAGATAAACAAATCATGATCAGAAAAAAATTGAGAACTTGAAAGGGCATTCAAGAATGAAAGCAAAAGTAATAACCTGAGGAGCTTCGTTGCTCTCATCTACAGGAATGTGAGCAATTCTTTCAACCCACTCTTGGATAGCATCAGTTATGTGAGGAACAACTGAGGAAAAATAAAATTATTAATCGTAACACATCTGGTTTAATTCAAGGATTAAACAAACTTGCTATGGACTTGCCTTGTACCGTCTTCCCAAGGTAATCTCCTTTGCGCTCTTTGCTGATAACCTGCTGGTAAATTTTACCAGTGGTAATATTATTGTCACGATGAAGAGTGACATCCAAGAATCGCTCATAGTTGCCCAAATCCAAGTCAACCTCGCCTCCATCGTCCAGAACATATGTTTCACCTGAAAAAGATTTGAAGGCAATATAAGGAATGTAATACAGAATGATGAATCATTGATCAGATGCACAACAAAGATGTAAGCAAGGTAGCTTAGAAGGCAAGTATTATCTCTAATATGATTGAAATATAACACCAACAGCTATATATATTACAATAAGAGTAACATAAAATACATGACACATCAGGTAACGTTGATGGTAGACACTGCTGTAGTTCACTCAAAGGGTAAAAACAGATTAATGTTATTCTTACCATGCTCATATGGCGAAAACGTGCCTGCGTCGATGTTGATGTAAGGATCAATTTTTATACAAGTAACTCGCACTCCACAGCATTTCAAAATTGTGCCAAATGAACTTGCTATGACGCCTTTACCTACTCCACTAATGACACCACCCGTTACTAAAATATACTTCATGGCGTAAACAAAAGTTTTCACTGCGCTTCTTAACCTAGCCAATATTGATCTTAAGTTTGGCGCAAAATACACACATGCACTGACAAAAAAAAGAACAAAATTCGTGCCTTTCCTTTTCCGGCTATTCCGGATATCTAAGGTTCCCCCTCTCCCGAAAATACTACCCTCCCCTCCCACCGTTTTACTGGCGGATGAGGGGAAGGAAGAGTAGGAGGAGGAGCAGAGGAGGGGAGGGGAGGAATTCGGAAGATTACAGCTTTACAGCTTTCCCGGCGCAACGGCGCGAGAGCTTTTAGTCCGTGTATTATCTTTTGGAATAGATTAAGTACATTCTGACACAATCGTACGAATTTGTTTTCATTTCGTTGATCTTGTCTGTATAAAACCTAGTCTCTTTGATTGGATTACATACCTGCAAACTCCGAAAACTTGGCGTCCTCTTTCCACAGCAGAAAAGGTTATTATGCTAGTTGCGCTAGATGTTTAACTTACATTAAATACGTTAATTCATCCACAAAAGTGTGTATGTTGATAATTTTGTATTATTTAGTTGTTTGGTTCAAGTTTTCAATCCGTATTTTTATCAGAAACGAAGTGGATGGGACTTGTACTTTTAGGTTAGGGGATTAATTTATGAATTTTACAACTCCTTTATACTACAATATTCGGTGAAATGTTTCATTTGTTGTATGGATGTTTAGATTATTTTACATCTGTTCAAAGTACATGATAACCTGAGGTTGACTCACCAAACTTGGAATTGATTGTAACAGTTGTATTTTATCTTTTACCAATTTTGCGCTATAAACTTTCAAATCATTTCACCCCTTAACCGTTACTTTCTTCTACTCCTTAACTCTCTAATACTATGTATTTTTCTGTGTAGGTGCAGTAGACTTTCAAAATGCTAGCGACAAGTCGCTCACGCCGCAGCAATGCAGGTGCTCAAATGGCAAAACTATTGGAGGATTTGCAGGAAGATGACTTTTACAAGTCAACTTATGGGGGTTTTGAAGAATCAGAAGAAGACAACGATTTTCAGTAAGTTCCAAACAATCATGTGCTGTAACATTCCATCTCCAAAAAAATCGTAGCCTTTATTGTACTTAAATGTCTTTTTTTGTCCTTGAAAAATGTAGATCCGGAGATGAGAAAGAAGTTGCAGATGATGTTGATTCCGACTTCAGTATTGAGGAGAATGATGAACTCATTTCAGACCATGAAGATGACGCCCCCAAGAGACAGTCAAAAGTTGTCACCAAAGCTTACAGGGTACTGTACCGATGAGACCAAATTTTCTCAGTAGTTTCTTTTGAAAACAGTGCTAATACTTTATTCAATCATCATTTATTTCAGGAACCAAAGCCAGCCCCTCAACCAGGAGCTCCAGAGAAAAAGCCCAAGGTCCCTAAGCAACGCAAGCCCAAAATGACAGCAGATATGTATGGTAAGATTTTTATATTGTTTGTGTTGCTTTATCCATGTTTATGTGGTCCTCTTATTACCTGCTGTGTTACTGTAGATATGGGAAAATTTTAATTGTTTGATCATCTTACTTTTTTTAGAGAGGAAGTCCATTAGAAAATCAACAGTTAAAAAGTCAGAAGAAACACAATTAAGGGTGAAAAAAAGGAAAGAAGAAGGGCCTCGTAAACATCGTAGGCACAGGGACTACTTTTATGAACCAACCCAAGAAGAAAAACTAGCAGAGGCAAGGGTTACAGAGGAAGAAAATTTAAAATCTTTAGGTAGTATGGTTTGTTACACAATTTGTCTCAGCTTCAATAATTTCTTCAATAATTTCAACTAACACATTTATTTATTTATTTCAGAAAAATATCAGAAAATGGAACTAGAAAAAAAGAAAACGAGAGGGACTAAGAAACGTATTATTGGTCCGACTATTCGTTATCATTCAGTTGCAATGCCAGTACTTGAAGAAGTGCCAAGTAATCATGGACTTGTGACTGATGAAAGGATCAACGTTGAGGATACTATTGATGAGTAAGTATTATTAATAAATTGGCCTTGTACTTAAAATTGGCAAGAGGTAGTTTTTCATACTGGGTTTCCATGTTATTGCAGCGCAACAATGTCTGGCGATGCTCTAGACCCCCAGCCTGTGAAGGAGCCTGGGGAGAAAGTGAAGGAAGAAGGCGAACAATCAGAATCTTCCCTATCAAAACTTTATCCACGCTGTGAGCGAACATTCTTAACATTCAGTGATGAAAGCATTTTCCGACGAGCATATCGCCTGAGGAAAGCCAGAGCTCCACAACGAAGTTATTGCCTTATAACTAGGTAAACTTACAAACCTTTGAAACTCCTCTTTCATAATTTAGTATTGTTTATTCTAAATGACCTAATTTTCTTTTTTCAGACAAAGGGCAAAGTATAAGGATCCTGCAACACAAGCACCCTTTTGTAATGCATCAACTTTCCGTGCTTTGCGTGATGTTCTTGCTCTACATTTGGAGCATAGACCAAGTAATGATCCTGAAACAATTCAGTGGCTGGAATACAAGCAGAAGGAAAGAGAGGAAAGACAGGCAGCTGCTCAGCAAATTGCCTGTAAAGTTCGACTCACACCTAGTATGCAGGCTGCTCATGTCCTGCAGGCTGTGGCCCAGGGCACCAACCAGGCTGCAGCTTCATCAGCTTAAAATAATGAGATAGTTTTAATATCTCTTTTTAATAGCATAACATAGGTATATTAGTTATATATCCTCTAAAAACTGTGATATTTGTGGACTTTGATTCTGTAATGAATTTTACGTAAACCATGGAGTTAGATATAATTGTACTATTGAAATAAGTAGATGTATGTAGCTATATGTAAAGGTCTTGTGGTTTTCTCCTTTATGAGAAAACAGACTGATAATTAATTGATGTGTAAATTATGCATTTCAGAAATACTGATCAAGTATTATAAATTTCTGTTTTAATGGAATTCAAATGTAGAGCGCTATATTTTCTTTCCCTTTTAAATGAGCAGGCAATGTACACCTTTTCTTGTAGCTCATTCATGTGACATCAAATCAACTTTAATTGAAAGATTTCTCAACCTATTAAAATGATACTGACCACTGCAACAATCCAGTGATAATTTTGCAAATCACCCAGCCCAAACCACACATTTTTGGTAATTGTTATTAATCTTTAAACTCTCCAATAGATCTGAATTGCTCAGTGTAAGAGATGCATCTGGAGAAATTCTCATATGGTTTTATTATCAAACAGTACAAAGTTCGAGAAGAGAATATTAACCAAAAAGCGCCGTACTATCGAGGCCCACTTTTTAAAGGTGCGCTTCTTGGGCGCTTCCCTCCTACAATGTTAGTTGTGCGGGAATATTACGAAGGTACCTGTCTACGAGGCTACTATGGCTGGGCACAAGCGAGGCTACAGCGTGCTGGGGCGGCTGGGCCGGGGGGAGGGGGTTGGGAAAGAGGAGTGCTCCTGGACCAACCCTCCGCCCCGGCCGCTCTGGGGTGCGAGCCGCACGGCGCAGACTCCCTCCGTATCAGTTTCGATCGGCACCCCGCCCCCTCCCTGGCCGCCCCGCCCCACTCAGGGGCCCCCCGGACCGCCGGGCCGGGCCTGGCTGTAGGCCCCAGTGACAGTAGCCCCCTCGCCTCAGAGAGAAGCCACCCCCTTCCGACAGGTCGGGCTGCGCGCTGCTCCGCGCTGCGTGTTGGGGCGCGGCGTCGCGGGACTGTTCAGGGTCCGCCCCGTCCCGACTCAACCCGTGCCGTGGGCGAGTGTGTCGCGGGTAGCCGCGCCGTGTCCGGGGCGCGTCAGTCTCCGCGTCAGCTGCCGCGACCCTCAGCAGAACAGCCATGGTGAGTGAGAGGGTTTGTGTACGTTTCGAGGGCATGGGTGGGTGTGGGTGTCGCGAGAGGGGGTGGGGCCGCGAGCTCCGCTCCCTGCCGTAGAGGTTAGGAGTCTTCCTCGGCGCAGCCTCCGCGGCGAGCGTGCGTGCGTGTGTGCATGTTTACGCGTTTGGAGAGAGACAGTGCAGAGGTTATGTCGGCTCGTCCCGCCAAATGGGGGTGTCGTACCTTGTGTCCAGGATCCAGGGCCTCTAGGGTTGGGCCGTGAGTCTTGCACCCACGTGTCTGCGGGTCTGTGGGCTGCGGGACCTGCAGATGCTGCATGGGTTCCATTCCGGACGATGCTGGTCGGGGCGGTGCTGGTACCTACCCTTCCCGACGACACGGCGAGCGCCGTCACCCGTTTTGACCGTCGCGTCGCTGGGCTGGGCGTCGCTGTACTTGACGCGCCGTTGCACCCACCCGGGCGATGAGCACAAATAAACGCGAAAAACTCACTTTCATAACATTTGTAGCTTTTGACTGTTAATGGGAGTGACGGTGACACTTTCTGCCTAAATTTTGACTGCCAGCTTCTAAACTGTAAATAACTCCGTGTCTAGAGGGATGTCACCGCCGTCATCGGCTGCGTCCGGAATCGACGATAGTGGGAGTGTGATGCTCGTCCCGGATCATATCTCCCCCCCCCCCCTACTCCGTCTAGTTGTTTTCGAACGCATTTCCTGCTTGTAACCTCCCTGCCGCCAACGCTACCCTGTCGTCCACGTGGTCGCCCCGAAGAGGTCTGGTATCTCGGGTCTCGGGGGCGCGGGGTAGCGCCGCGGGGGATATAGGCGACGCGCGGGTACCACCCGGGCCGTCGCGGCGAGGGGGACAGGGGCAGGGGATGGCGATCGAGGCAGTAACAAATTAGTGCGACTAAGGTGAAGGCCGCTCGGGGAGGCTTGAGGGGGCTCGAGGCTCAGCAGCGCGGGGCCCGCCTGGGGCCATGACGGATGTCGCCTGCAAGTCGTTGAATGTGGAGAGAGGAGCCGGGGGCAGGGGTGGTAAAAGATAAAATGATGGCGAGGTGGAAGGTACTGCTGGCTGGATGGAGCGCTGGTGCGCGTCGCAGCGACACGGTGGTATCTGCACCCTCCCTTTTTTATCCTTTTTTTTGCTTCCCGTCCACCCCCCGCTTCTACCCCCTTTTCTCTATCTCCTCCCCCTCCCCCCTCTATATGGCGCACTGCGATGGCGAACATTTACTCACAGCAGCGCCGTTCTGTTGGCGCACCTGCACACACACACAGACACACGCACACACACACATACACAGAGACACAAACGCACACACAGACATGCGACCCCCTGAGGCTGTTACCGCCCCGAGGGGGAAAGGAGAGGAAGCGAGCGAGAGGCGGAGCGAAGGATAGAGACGGAGGAAGAAATGGAGAGAGAGAAAGAGGGTAGAAAAGGGGGCGTTGTCCAGACGTGCAGCGGAAGCATCCCGGCGCGATGCACCCAACCCCCCCCCCTCCCC